GTGGGGTAGGGGTGACGGGAGTGTGGGGGGCTGACGGAAGGACGTGATGGGGGCCGTGATGGGGAGGGTGTGACGGAAGGTCGTGACCGGGAGCATGACAGGGACTGTGGGGGACGTGACAGGACAGGACGTAACAGGAGGTGACCTGGACTGTGGGGTAGGGGTGACGGGGGGGGGGGGGCGGGATGGAAGGACGTGACGCAGGGAGGTGAGGGGGAGCGTGGGGCTGGACGGAAGGCCGTGATGGAGAGGGTGTGCCGGGGAGCGTGGCGGGGGCGCGGCCCAGGCGGCCTGTGCCGCTCAGCGCCCACCCCTCCCTGCAGAGCGGGTCTGCCACACTGTTGGTCCCCTTCCTCTGCTTTGCCAAGTGGCAGTGAGGCGGGGTCTGCTCTGTGGCACGTGGCGTTTCCGTATTGCGGAGGTGGAAGTCACACGTGGGTCTGAGCGGAGGGCGGTCCCGGCTGAGACCCTGCTGCGCCGGGGGCGCCGCGCTCCTGGACAGCGGCGGGAGCCCCACGCCTGCCGCTTATCACGCACGGCCTGTATTCCTGCAGGTTTCTCGAATCCATCTGCCAAATATCAGTAGGTGAACTGTCAAGCGATTGTCCTCAGTAGTGACATGAAACACCACTTTAGTGACTGGCAAGTCTGCCTGGGCGAGCTGTGTGCCCGCAGGCACTCCCCAGGCGTGGGCAGCCTGGGGTTGGTGGTGACAGCAGTGTTCCTGAAGGAACCAGCTCCGGGGCAGCGCATTGTGAGGGCTGTGTGCAGCTGGCCCACGGGGTGTGGGTGTGTGTGTCCGAGTGTCACTTTGGACACAGGAAACAGAGTTTTATCTATTAGTTCAAAACAAAGCAAAACAATAAAAATGCAAGCAGCTGGTCCTAGTTTGGTTCCAAACTCATGCTGCTTGTGGCTGCATATAGAAGGATTGTACTACTTATTGGTTCATTATTTTTATTCAGGTTGGGGTTTATTAGCAGGGAAAATAGGTATTTTTAGAAACATCTCAAGGTATAGAAGCTGTCCTGTGTTCATTTTCCTTGCATCACTGGGACCCTGCCAGGAGAGTCATGATTGCCATTGTCTTCAAAGAATTGAACGCAGGAGGTTCTAAGTGACTTGCCTGGGTCTGTGCAGCCAGGGTGGGAGGGGAACCTGGGAATCTGACTCTGCTGTGCACTCTCTCAACCTTAAGAGTTGAAAGAATGTTGAAGGAGTAAATTTAGATTTTAAAAGTATTTCATGTTTCTAAAGTTGGTATTACACAGTTTGGAAACTGCCGAAGAATTGCCAAACTCTCATTTTAAAAACATAGATTAAAATTATTTATACCGTGTTCCATGACCTTGTCAGATTCCAAATTCCCTTCCTCAGTTCAAGGCAAGACATGGCACTGCTGTCCTTGCAGATAAGGTGAGCTCAGGCAGCATCCCTCTGTGGCTCTTGTTCCTCTGACTCCTCTTGCCCCATTTCAGCTAGTGGATAAAAGGTTGAAAATATGGTGGAGGTAACAGAACTCTTGAAGTTAATAATAGCAAAATTTCAGAGTCAGAGCCAAGCAGGTTGGTGTAGGTCTGATTTTTGATTAGGTGGGACTTACATGCCTCTCCTCCCAGAAACCACAGAGTCCCTCCTGAAAGGAAAGTGAGGAGCTCATTTATTGTCTACTCTTCTCTTTTTCTAGAAACATTGTAAAATATACTCTAGCAG